AAAAAAAAAAAAAAATCAAGAGTCCGTGTGCATATCTGACGTTCTGTGAACTCAAGCCTCTGAACCTGTATTGTTGTGAAGTCTCAAGAGGAACTTCCATATCTGGCTCCCTGTTCCCACTTGCTCTGCTGAAATAGAGCTTCTCATTTCAGACAATGTCAGCCGCCAGCCCGAGTGCAGAGATTTTTGTATTTTGTGACTGCCATCTGACTTACACTTTCTCAAGGAAGGGAAAGAAGGGAAAAATGAAGTAATTAAGTGCTTCAATTTCAAAGGCTTTCTCTTCCAGCTTCTGCTAGGTTGAAGGTAGAGTAAGAGCAATCAGTAATGGTGGAGACATCAGTCCAGAAGTTAAGTCAGAAGAAGTGATGTCAAGATGACAGTGAATAAAAGGACTGCAGATAACCAAGAGTTGACTTTTTAGGGGCTTCACCAGTGCACAACTGAGACAGAAGAGGTCCAATGGAGGGAGGGGCTGCCCCCGAGTCCACCTCAGCCCACCCCACTCACACTTGACGGCCTGGCACAGCTGGAAGGCCATGTGGCGCACTTGGTGGATGGGGTAGGGCAGGTAGTTGTTGTCTTTGAGGAAATCGAAGGTGCTAAGGCCCAGGAGCTCAAAGGAGATACACATGTGGCCATGGTAGTCAAACCAGTCAAACATCTGGACACAGAGGCTGGGAAGAGAGATGGGGGAAGGAGGATGTCTGATGAGCCAACCACCCCTTTAGTGTAGAGGACTGTCTAACTGGTGAGTCCACATCCATGTGCAGCTAGCATTACCAACAAAACAGTACAGCTAGGGGACGGCCTGCTGAACAACTCAGGAGAGAGGCAACAACAAGCAAGCTTTAAACCATTTTTCTGCAGTATTTTAAATAGTTTAAAAAACCCTATAATTGCTGGAAAGCTATTCAGTGCCAATCTCCAAACAGGAGAGACCCTGAACTGCCAAGCTAACAACAGTGACCCTGACTCCAGCCCCTATTCCTGAGGGTCACTCGCTGTCCACCACCATTAGGCCCATGCTCACATCTACTGCCCTCTCATGTCTTTTAATAATCACAATCTACCTTTGGCCAACAATGTGTGTGAAGAAGTATCTCCACATAAATGCCTACAGTCTCATCATTACAGTCCTAAGTATAAATACTTAATGTTGTTCTAGTGAATACTGTAGCTCAGTCCCAGGACCATCTGAGTGTACAGAACACTGCAATCTAATGTCCCTAGGAACAAGGCACTGGAGTAGAGAATGCCATGGGCCCTTCCTGCCCTGATGCTCTACTGCTCTAGGATGATGAGCAAAAGATGGATGGATGAATGAGCAGATCCAGGACGTCCCTCCTGTCTGCCTAATTTAGGACTGGGAGTCTCTCCTGTGGAGGTTGGGGACTCTCAAACGCCCCTCTTCTGCTTGCTTGCTTACTTCTTGTTGTCAGGATCTTTCTCATTGATTTTCTCCAGCACGTTGATCTCTAGTCGAGCTGCTTCTTTGTATTTCTCCACATTCTTTATGATCTTCAGGGCAACACGAGCCCCACCCCTGTAGGTTGGTAGAAAAGGGGTTTTTTGCTGGTTTCTCAGAATAAGCCCAGACTGAGTAAGCCTGGACTGAATGGGTTGCCTAAGCACTAAAAAACTGTACCTTTGGCTGTTCAGCAAAAAAGCCCCAGACAAAACCCCACCTTCTTATACCTAACAGGTTTTGAGTAGGGAGGGTTTGACAGTTACCTGCGATGATCAACACACTGCACAACTCGGCCAAAGGTTCCCTCTCCCAAGGTGCTTACAATTTCATCTGCAATGAGAGAGTAGGGTCGGGGAGAGGGAGGGAGAGAAGGTGGGGGGGGATGAGCTCACTGGGGAAAAAAAAATTCAAACTGTACAGCAACCTAGGGTGAGGAGATGAAGGAAGGGGGAACAGATACAGATGGTCACAGGGGAAGAAAACCCCTGAGTGATTCCCACCACCTTTAACCCAGGGGCCATGAGTGGTGGAAGTGGACGGCAGAGGCCAAGTCTCAACAGCAACTCAAACCACCCAGATAAACAACACCACTGAGAAAGGCAGACTGTGACAGGTTGGCCTGGGACGTTAGGATGGCTATGGGACCATTACAGGCTATAGGATTGTTACGATTTGGCTTGTACATCGCTCTTGTAGCCAGTCCCCGACGTGGTAGATGAGGTGGCCCTCAGCGTCGTCCTCTACACTCTTGGCTCTCCGGCTGCTGTGCTGCTGTCGGGGGGCGGGGGGGATCGGAGCAAGCCAGGTGTCGGAGCGGGGGCCGGAGGGAGGCGGGGTGGGTGGTGGAGGGGTCACCGGTCACAGGCGCCCAGCCAGGGGGGACAGACGATGATGGGGGACAGTGGAAGGGAACACGTCAGATGCAGGAAGGAGGATCGGGGTGAAAAGAGAGAGCGGCGCACAATCCCAAGTCCCCAAACCCAAACAGGAGCAGGGAGAGACATGGGCAGAGCAGAGAAGTGGTGTTGCTGCAATGTCACCCACAACCCCATGCTCTACATGATGCTCTTTCTGGGAGGTACACACACTCCCTCGACCCCACCCATGTCTACCTGCTAAAGGAATCACAAAGTCCGGGGCTTGGGGGCAATAGCATTTCACAAGCAAGGTCCCTGCCAGAGTCGGGGGAGGGGGGGGGGGCTCTGGAGTACAAGAGCTACTCCCAACACGATAAGCACAGCATGCCAGGAAGGGCACTGAGAGTCACAAATGCTTAGTGCTCACACATCTCCGATGTAGATTTCAGGGCTCTCCAAGACTGAAGAGCTTTCAAGAGTGTATGCAGATCAGGTGCCCACCTCAATGTACATGCCCCACCATGCTCAGATGACACTACTTACTGCTACTACTATTAATACTACTACTCACTTACCAGGGTCTTCCGGGGCCTGAAGAAGAATGGGGAGAAGAAGGGTATGGGCAGGCACTCACCGAAGAGGAGCGGCTGAACGTCCGGCTGCGCCGCCTCCGCCGCCTGTGCTTCCTGCGGCTGCTGCGCTGGCTGCGGTAACTGCTGTTCTCCCGGTGGTACTCGTAGGAATGCCGATAGTCTGGGTCATAGTATGCCTCTCCCCGGTCCCGGCTGTAGTCATTGCGCCGGTAGCTGCCACAATACCGCCGGTCGTATGCCCTTCGGTCAGATGAACGGTCATCATAGCTGCTGTTGGACAATACAAGCAGCCATTCATTTCAGGCCCTCCCCCAGTGAAACATCCAGTTGCCAAACATCCACCAAGCTACTGCAAGAGCATCAAGGACCCACAGGAGTGAGGTAGAGAGACTGCTCACAGGTGAAAAGTAACAGAGTAACCACTCTCTGGGCATCTTCTCTTTGCCTTCAGTGAGACATTGCAACAAAGAATCATTCCGTGCTATCCCTGACTGAAATCCAGATGTGCTTCAAAGCATCCCAAACCACAATCTATATTGTTGCTATCCTTAATTGCCATTAGTCTTTGGCTCACAGTAGCCCTACATACAACAGCTAGATACTTTGTGACATCTTCATAATCTCTACTGTGCTTAAAGACACTGTCACTGGTCCATAGGTGTCAAACCACCCTCTGAAGGTATTCCTTGTCTTCTCTAACATTAGCTTTCAAAGCATAATGCTTCCTTCAAATGGCTGGCCCTCTTGATAATAGCCCAAAGTAGGTGATGAAATTTCACCATTCTTGCCTCTTAGGAGCACCCTGTACTTTGACTACCTGTGACCTTAAAATCCTTTGCATATGCCTTCCTATTGCCTAGGACACATCTTCCACTTGGCTCCTACTTGTCCTCCAGACAAACTTATAGGGCACTTTCTCAGGGAAGCTCCTTCAACTGTATGTTTTGTCCTACTTCATTCAAATTTGCTGGTGATTCCTTAGCCCTTCACTATGTATTTCCCCTGTAACAACATTTTTTCCCCTTCTCAACATCTTATCGTGGTTTATAAGTTTATAAAGCAAATTAGTTTTCCAGTCAACAATTTACATATTCCCTCAATATAACACCACTCTTCCCACTTCCTCCCAGTTTCATATTTTCACTCTCCATCTTCATACCCCTTCCTGGGCAAAGGTTTTTGGGTAAATGCTGCCCTTTTGGTCTCTCATATAAATTCTTGTCCTGAGGTCCTCAGATGTTACTGGTGACTTTATAGGCTGCCAACTGTTAGCTGAAAAGTAATCTCCAAGAGTAGATTCAGTTCCAGGTTTGAAAGGTGAAGGTAACACTCTTACCCTTAAATGCAAATGTCTTATTTTATCATCCACTTTGAGTATCATCTTCACCCAGCAGCATAGCACAATGCCCTTAGCATGGAGCCAACCACTAGGAATGTCTTGATAGCGGGCGATGTGAAACTCTGAGATGGAGTTTCTCATTCTGAGGTCTCACCTCCGAGAATGGACATGGTAACTGTCTTCCCGTCGACGTCGCCTTGTCCGGTCACTGCTACTTGACCAGGAGCGGCTTCTTCGTCGTTTATGCTTTCGGCTCCTATAGTGTTCATGATAGCTCCCCCGGCTACCTCGCTCGGAGGAGTGGTACCTTCGGGGATGAGGCATCTATAAGAGAACGAAAAGAAAAAATGAGTGAAGCTCGGAGTTTTCAGACACCCTCTTCATAAACATTGCTCAGTGATATGGAAATGCTTTCTGCTTTTACCCTATGTGTTTTTCCCACCTACAACCTCCTCAGTGATTCCAACTCCTCTTAAATAAGATCCATACTCACATACTTAGTCTGGCTGAAAACCTAGAATGTATTCCTCCCATTCACCAAGTTTTCCCTATCCTACTCATTACTCTATCCTACTTTTCCACAAATATGGCTCCAGGAAGGCCCTCAGGTCTGAGTCAGTCACAGTTCTATTACAGGTGAGACTATATGACTTATATTGGCTGCCACATTGCCCAAGAAATATCTGTGCCATGTTGAGTTCCCAGCTCAAAAACACCACTTAAACATAATAAAGGTTTTATTTTATAATGTATCTGATACCCAAAAATAGTCCATCAATGTCTCAAGGGCAGGAATCCAGTTTTCTAAACTCCTATATATAACAAGGATATACACACATAAGCAAGTTCCAGGGACCTGTGCCTGGTTCTGTCAATTCTCTATGCCAATACTACAGGGGAGGTTTTAACACACCAGGTCTCAAACTATCTGGCCCCTCCCCTCTTAGGCTGAGGAAACAGAGAATAATTGGTTTTTAATTAATATCAGCATTACTTGGCTAAGAGCTGCCTACTTCAAATTACTGAGGCTACAACATGGTGCTTGAATTCCCCCCCCCTTCTTCTTCTTCTTCAGCGAAAGAGTCAAAAAGAAACCACTGTTACATTCCAAGAAGAAAATATGAAGGCAGAATGAAAGGAAAGCCCAGAGAGAATTCTCAAGGGAATAAAGGGTTAGATGTGGAAAAATCCTAATGATGCCAACATATGACTCCCATTCTGCGCTGCTTCTTTCCAACTTTCTCAAGTTGAGGAGAGCGTTAGTTGACTCATTCTTATCCTAACAGGGCTGGGAGAAAAACAATGCAAAAATTCTTTCCTTAGGTTTCTTTTCCTTCCTAACCTTGCTTAGCCTGAGTGTCATCTCATCACATACATACATACTGCTACCAAAGTTGCTACAGGTCTTTTCTGTCCAAGTCACCCAGGATGGGTCTCAACCTTCAAAAATGTCCTTTCTTCACTCAACTGACTTCAGGTCTACAAGTCAAACTCTACCCCTCCTCAAAGTGACAATCCTGCTATCCTACACCTAAGCTTGGTTCAACTTTGATCCACTGCTTTCTTGTCTAGGAAACTTCTATCCCTTCTCCATCACTCCTTGTAGTTTGGCCCCTCCCAAGTTTCCTGTAGGGGTTCTCGAGTATCTATATTTAAGGCAGAGCGATCAGCTCCACCTCGGCTCTGGCTCCCCACCTCTGCAGCTCTGCAGGTCTTATCCCTCCTCCTCTTTCCCACTCGGTGCCCTGGTCCCTTTCCCCCATGCGATTCCCATCTCTGCTCGCCCCGCAGGGCGCGCCCCCGCGTTCGCCATCTTTCCGCACGGGCCCGCGGCCCGCCAACCCGCGCGCTCACCGTTCTGGCGGCGAGGCCCGTGCGCTTGTCCCACAGGAAGTCCGTGATGGCGGCGGCACTGCGGCCGGAGTCCCGGCACCCCCGCGGAAACGAAGTGCGGTTCCACCCCCCCAACCCGGGACCCTGGGACCTCCCGCCCCGTTCCCGGGCTCCGTTCCAGTCCCGCCCGGCCCGATTCCTTTCCCGCCCCTAGGATCGTCTTGGTGCCGCTCGAACGCCCCGCCCGGGGCCCGATTCCAGCTCAGTCTCTAGGTCTGGCCTCTCCGCTCCGCCGCCGCCGCCGCCGTGAGCGAGCACGCATGCACGCACGTTCTGCGTCCCTTCCCAGACGCCCCTGGGTCCCGCCTCTAAAGGCCGCGCACTCCCGTCGCGTGTGCACGTACCTTGCAAACGTCCGGCGCTCTGCCTGGGAACCGCTGCTGCAGGGAGTTGTGAGGACCTCCAGGGCCACCTCCATTCCAAGGTTCCTTCGTCTGTGGCTTAGATAGTTAGGTTTGGAGATTTAAAAAACTTAATGTGTTGCTTCGCCGCAAACCACTCAGGCCTGTCTTACTGGTGAGATCTATTTTTCTAACATCAGAAGACATCTAGTTCTTAAATAGTTTGCCTGGAGTCAAGGATTCTGAAGCTTCGTCTGACATACTTTGGGCATGTTGCAAGGAGGGACTAGTCCTTGGAAAGGGACATCATGTTTGGCAGAGTGGAGGGGAAGCGAAGGAGAAGACCTTTGGTGAGATAGATCGATTCTGTGACTGGAGCGGTGGAAATAAGTGCGTTTGAGATGGCTAGGTTGGCACAGGATAGAACAGCATTTAGAGCTCTTGTACATAGGGTCGCTATGAGTCGCAAGCGACTCGATGGCACATAAGAACAACAACAAACCTAACTAACTGCAAGGAAGTGAAGCTTTCCACATTTTGTTCTAAGCAAAAGTTGTGCACATGTGGCAGCAAGGTACTTGGGCATGTTGGGAAAGTTTAAGAAACAGAGGGAAGGGAGAATCAGATACCCTAAATGAGTAAAGATTTACTGCCATGGAAACCCAGTACTACAGTTCTTTCTTGCTGGGTCAAAATTGACTTCACTTCAGTGTGTCTAGTATAAATTTACAGAATTTATAAATGAAAAGAAAAAGGTGGACTCTGTAAGGCAAAATATGTAGTAATGGTATAGAACAAATTGAAAAGTGGTCAGAAAGAAAAGAATAAAATGACCTGAAAGTAACCATATTAAAGGGAGCTCTGGTCGCCTAGTGGCAAGAAGCTGTGATACAATGCCTAAGATACGCAATTCAAGGCCACCAGACACTCTGCTGGAGAAGGATGGGCAATCTCCTCCCATGTGATTAACTGCCTATAAAAACCCGCCAGAGGGTCAGCCATGGGTGGGTTCTGACTCTATGGTACACAACGACATCATATTAAAATAGTTGTTAAATGTCATCAGATAGGAACCTCATAAATGACCCTCCAACACGTTTTCAAAGGCAGTGAATTGCATGGGAGATTGCCAAGAAGCAAGCTGGTGAGTTTGAACTTCCTATGTTTGGGTTGGCAGTGCAACTTCTTTCCACCAGAATACAAAAAAAGGAGCTGGAATAGGGAACATATAGAGTTTAGACCAGCTAAACAGAAATGGATTTTGTAAAATAGAGGAAGAAGTGCTATGAATGGGGTTGGGAAGAACTGGGCAGTTCAACTCTTCCATGAACTCTCTCTGAGAGACCAGTCATGTAAATGAGTGCCCAGATGCACAACTACTGTTCTCCAGTTTCATAATCTAATGAAGAGAGGCAGACCAAGCAAATAATGGCAGCCATATGACAAGCACTGTTGTAAATTAATGCCCTGACTGTTGTAAGAAAGTTCTAGGATTGTTGTTGTTATGTGCTATCGAGTCAACTACGACCCTAGAATTAGACCCTCACCATTATCTACTCTGTAGTTAATCGGGAATGGTGCAGGATAAAGAAGCATTTTGTTCCATCGTGCATGTGGTTGCCATGAGTGAGGAAATGACTCCACAGCAGCTAACAAGAGACTAGACCCAACCTGAGGAGAGGAGAGTTGGGAATGTGTTTTCTAGGAGAGATGAGAGCTAAACCAATTGTTGGAGACTGAAGAATAACAGGAAAATAACACATTTGCAAAGGTTGGAAACAAAACAGAATAAAACATTCCAGGAAGTTGCCAGGGTAAGGAGCCCTAGTGTTGCAGTGGTGAAATGCTCAACTGCAAACTGAAAGGTTGTTGTTGTTGTTGTTAAGTGCCGTCGAGTCGCAGGCGACTCATAGTGACCCTATGAAGGAGAGTCCTTGATGCTTGGGTGCCTTTCATCCTCTCTCCAAGTTCATAGGGTTTCAGGAGGCAAGCTCTTATGGAAGGGGATGCCACTCCTCCTTCCACGCTTGTTTAATCGGGGAGCTCCACCCCACTCTCAGTCCACATTGGGTAGCCAACCATTAACGCATTTGACACATCCATGTCACAGTGTTCAGCCTACAGCAACCACAAGTGACCGCAGGACGGCAAGATAGGAGATTCAAATCCACCAGTTGCTGCTCTTCAAGCGAAAGACATGACAATCAACTTTGGTATAGGTAACAACTTTGGACACATTATGGAGCAGTTCTACTCAGTTCTGTATGGTTACTAAGTTAGCATATGACAGACTAGAATTGCCCCAGAGTTTACTAGGTTGTGATCTTTGTTTTATTGTTTATGCAAAGGCGTTTGACTGTGTGGATCATAACAAATTATGGCTAGCATTGAGAAGAATGGGAATCTCAGAACACTTAATAGTGCTCATTTGAAACCTATACATAGATATAGAAGCTCTTGTCCTAACAGAACAAAGGAACACTGGTTTCGAATCAGAAAAGATGTGCATTAGGTTTGTACTATTTCTCCATACTTAACTCATTTTGTATGCTGAGCAAATCATCCAAGAAGTTGCATTATATAAAGAATGTGGCATCAGGATTGAATTGAAGGAAGTCTCAACAACATGTATTATGCAGATGATGTAACTATGCTCGCTGAAAATGAAGAGAACTTGAAACACTTGTTGCAGAAGCTCTGAGTTAGTATGCATTACACAGAACTCTTCACCACTGGGCCCATAGGCAACATCATGATAGATGGAGAAAAGACTGAAGTTGTCAATAATTTAATTTTGTTTGGATCCACAATTAAGACTCATGGTAACAGCAGTCAAGAAACCAAAAGAAGTGTTGCATTGGGAAAATTTACTGTCAAGAACTTCTCTGAAGTGCTTAAAGAATGATATTGGTTTAAAGACTAAGATATACCTGGTCCAAGCTGTGGTCTTTTTATGAAAGTTGGACAATGAATAGGGATGATAAAAGATGAACTCATGCCTTTGGGTTGTGGTGTTGGAGAGAAGAGCACTGAATACCCCATGACCTGCCAAAAGAATGAACAAGTCTGTCTCAGAGGAAATGCAACCAGCATGCTCCTTAGAGACAAGGATGGAGTAACTGTCTCCCATTCTTGAGCACACTGTCAAGAGGGGCCAGTGCTTGAGAAAAGACATCGTGTTGGGAAAGATAGAAGATAAGAGAAAGAGAGGAAGACCCCAAACAAGATGGATTAACAGTGACTGTAACAATGGGCTTGAATGTATCAGAGATTGTGAGGATGGTGCAGGATAGAGCAAGGGTTTAGATCTGTTGTTCATAGGGTCACTATGAGTCATAGTCGATGCCTAACAACAACAAAGAACAATCTACCCTGAATTACGGCAGTGATAAAGAATATTAAACATACTATTGATTACCAGAGGGAGCTCTGGTGGTCTAGTGGCAAGAAGCTGTCCTGCAATCCAGAAAGCACATAATTTGAGGCCACCAACTGCTCCATGGACAAAAGATGGGCAATCTCCTCCCCTGCCTCTGAAAACCTGCCGGATGGTCAGCTATGGGTCGTCAGTTCCGACTTGATGGTACACAACAACCCATTACCAGAGGAACGGAACAAGAAAACTGTTTTGGAAGAAGTTGTTGTTAGGTGTCATGGAATTGAGTACGACTCATAGAGACCCTATGAACAAAAGATCTGAACCCAATCCTGTCCTGCACCATCCTCACACTTCCTGACACAAGAGTCCATTACAGCAGTCACTGTGTCTTTCCATCTGTTTGAGGGTCTTCCTCTCCTTTGCTGACCCTCCACCCTTCCCAACATCTTGTCCGTCTCCAAGGAATAGCCCCTCCTAGCAACATGTCCAAAGTATGTGAGGTGAAGTCATACCATTCCTGCTTCCTAAGAGCATTCTGGCTGCACTCTCTCCAAGACATATCTGTGGATGGCCAAGAGAATAAACAGATAGATAGTTGTGCTGTTGGAGAAGAGTATTGAATATACTATGGACTGCTAGGAGAACAAGCAAGTTTGTTCTAGAAAAGGTAAAGCCAGGCTGCTCCTTGGAGGTAAGGATTCTGAAGCTTTGTCTGACATACTTTGGACATGTTGCAAGACAGAATCAGTCTTTGGAGAGGAACTTCGTGCTTGGGAAAGTGAAGGGACAGTGCAGGAGAGGAAGACCCTTGATGAGATGGATTGATTCAGTGACTGGGGTAATTGGGATAGATGTATCAGAGACAATAAGGTTGCCACAGGATAGAGCAGGATTTAGGTCTGTTATACATAGGGTTTCTTTGAGTTGTAGGCAACTCAATAGCACATAACAACAACAACAACATATAGATTTAACAGGCATGGAGATAGAATACAACCCTGATACACTCTCTTCCCAATTCCATACCGTGCAGTGTTCCCCTGCTCCATTTGCACAACAGCCTCCTGATCCAGGTATAGGTTACTCATGAGCACAATCAAGTGCTCTGGGATTCCCATTTTTCTCAATGTCAGCCACAATTTGTTATGATCTACACAGTCAAATGACTTTACATAGTCAATAAAATACAAATAGACATTTTTCTGTTATTCCTTACTTTCAGCCAGGATCCATCCGACATCACCAATGATCACCCTCGTGCCATGGCCTCTTCTAAATCCCACTTGAATTTCTGACAGTTCCTGTCTATGTACTGTTCCAGCTGTTTTTAAATTATCTCCAGCAGTATTTTGCTTGCATGTGCTATCAATGATAATTGTTCAATACTTTCCACATTCAGTTGGATCACCCTTCTTGGGAATGGGAACAATTACAGACCACTTCCAATCTGTTGGCCAGATAGTCATCCTCCAAATTTTCTGACATAGACTGGTGAGTGCATTCAGGGCTGCATCTATTAATTGAAACAAGTC